AGTAGTAAGTAAATCACTGCATTAGGATGTCTGGGAAACTGGGCTGGATGTGTTCTACAAGTAGTAAGTAAGTCACTGCATTAGGACGTCTGGGGAACTGGGCTGGATGTGTTTTACAAGTAGTAAGTAAATCACTGCATTAGGACGTCTGGGGAACTGGGCTGGATGAGTTTTACAAGTAGTAAGTAAATCACTGCATTAGGACGTCTGGGGAACTGAGCTGGATGGGTTTTACAAGTAGTAAGTAAGTCACTGCATTAGGACGTCTGGGGAACTGAGCTGGATGAGTTTTACAAGTAGTAAGTAAATCACTGCATTAGGACGTCTGGGGAACTGAGCTGGATGGGTTTTACAAGTAGTAAGTAAATCACTGCATTAGGACGTCTGGGGAACTGGGCTGGATGTGTTTTACAAGTAGTAAGTAAATCACTGCATTAGGACGCCTGGGGAACTGGAGCTGGATGGGTTTTACAAGTAGTAAGTAAAGTCACTGCATTAGGACGTCTGGGGAACTGAGCTGGATGTGTTTTACAAGTAGTAAGTAAATCACTGCATTAGGACGTCTGGGAACTGAGCTGGATGTGTTTTACAAGTAGTAAGTAAATCACTGCATTAGGACGTCTGGGGAACTGGAGCTGGATGAGTGTTACAAGTAGTAAGTAAATCACTGCATTAGGACGCTGGGGAACTGGGCTGGATGGGTTTTACAAGTAGTAAGTAAATCACTGCATTAGGACGCCTAGAGGAACTGGAGCTGGATGTGTTTTACAAGTAGTAAGTAAATCACTGCATTAGGACGTCTGGGGAACTGAGCTGGATGAGTTTTACAAGTAGTAAGTAAATCACTGCATTAGGACGCCTGGGGAACTGAGCTGGATGTGTTTTACAAGTAGTAAGTAAGTCACTGCATTAGGACGTCTGGGGAACTGAGCTGGATGTGTTTTACAAGTAGTAAGTAAGTCACTGCATTAGGACGTCTGGGGAACTGGGCTGGATGGGTTTTACAAGTAGTAAGTAAATCACTGCATTAGGACGTCTGGGGAACTGGGCTGGATGTGTTTTACAAGTAGTAAGTAAATCACTGCATTAGGACGTCTGGGGAACTGAGCTGGATGTGTTTTACAAGTAGTAAGTAAATCACTGCATTAGGACGTCTGGGGAACTGAGCTGGATGTGTTTTACAAGTGGAGTACAAAGTAAATCACTGCATTAGGACGTCTGGGGAACTGAGCTGGATGTGTTTTACAAGTAGTAAGTAAATCACTGCATTAGGACGTCTGGGGAACTGAGCTGGATGTGTTTTACAAGTAGTAAGTAAATCACTGCATTGGGACTGGGCGTCTGGGGAACTGGGCTGGATGTGTTTTACAAGTAGTAAGTAAATCACTGCATTAGGACGTCTGGGGAACTGGGCTGGATGTGTTTTACAAGTAGTAAGTAAATCACTGCATTAGGACGTCTGGGGAACTGAGCTGGATGTGTTTTACAAGTAGTAAGTAAATCACTGCATTAGGATGTCTGGGGAACTGGGCTGGATGGGTTTTACAAGTAGTAAGTAAATCACTGCATTAGGACGTCTGGGGAACTGGGCTGGATGGCTTCTCAGCTGTGTGTGTGTGTGTGTGTGACAAGTTTGGACAGATATTTAAGTCTGTGACTTGCATGGTTACATGTCAAGCCTTCCTGGTTCATGTACAGTCGAAACTGCCTAAGTAAAGACCGCTTATCTCAACAGACCTGATAAGTAAACACTTTTCTTTGGTCCCGGCAACTTTCTTCATTAATTATCACTATTAGAGTCTGGTTAACTAAACTCGGATAAGTAAACAATACTGCTTAACTAAACGTCTTCTCACGGTCCCTGGGAGTAAATTACTTAACAAAAGAGACTGGATAACTAAATTAGCGTTCACCACATAATCCGACATCAGTCTCCAGTCAAACAAACATCCTACTTACAGCTCGCTGGCGTCAAGCAGTTGACAATACACTGCAACAGCCCTGATAAGTTGTTCATTGTTACATATGCATACATATACATGCATATGGTTGTCATTTGCAGGTTTTTATAAGTTTGGATAAGTAAAATACCTGATAAGTAAACAATTTTGGTGAGTCCCTTGGAATTTTACTTATCAGGTTTCCACTGTATCATGATATAATGCATACTTTGAACATTGCTGCCTAGGGCAGTATACAACTGAAATATTGCATATCAGAGAGACCGGCTGATTATTTACACACACACTCACACACATCCAAACTGCACACCAGGCTGACAACTACAGCCTCCTGTACTGCATACCCGGTTGACTAAAGCCTCCTGTATTGCATACCAGGGGATAAACATTAAAACAAGTATGTGTTTCAGCAAAGTAACAATTTATTTCTCAAAAGTCTGGATTCAAGAAAAACATTTTTTTATAAATGTCAAGAAAAATGATTCAACAGATGTGAAATAAAAGCCCATGTCAGAAATATCAAGGCTGTACTATTAAATAAAATACATCTAAAATTATTTCAAAACCAAAAATATGTTTGCATGTGTGAGAAGTTAATTATCTGATTTCTGTGTTTTTAAATGAAATGAATAAAAAGAGTAACTTCTAGATGCAGAAAATAAGTCCTTTTAACTGTTCGACATGTTGGCGTGACTCCTGTTATATCTTCACACACGACAGTTAGTTCTGCTGGGCATAAACACACTCAGGATATGTATCTTCATCACGAGTAATGTACCATCACACAACCCAAGATTAAAAACAAGAACACCACATAAAACTGAAGAAACTGCAACTTGACAGTGTTTCTTTGTTAAATAGGTGAAATTGGGTTTAACGTCGTGCTTGAAAATATTTCGCTCATATGACGACGTGCATGCGTGTGTGAATGTGCGGCTGCTTGTACTAGCCCAGACTGAAGCTGGTTTTATAGTGCTAGCCCACTGAGATACTATGCCGCAGTGAAGCAGAAATACCCCACTCAGACACATTATACTGACTCCGAGCCAACCAGTCCTTGTTGTACCCATTAATGCCGAGCGCCAGACAGGGACCAACAAGTACCATATTTTAAGGTCTTTTGGTATGACGCGGTCGGGGATCGAACCCGCGACCTTCCGCTCTCCGGGCGGACTCTCTAACCACTACACCACGGAGGCGGTCTTTGTTAAATAGACAGTTGTTGACTGACAATAGATGTTGCCAAGTAACAAACATTCTTCAAGAATTATGTTTAAAAAATCATAGACAATACAATAAATACTGGTGTATAGTAAAATAGAAACATATTGAAATCCAGATGATTCATAAAATTACCAAGTCTGTTGAAAGTTGGAAGATGATGCTAATATTCATCTTCCTAAGATGGGCATCATCTGGAATGATTTTACCAGAATTTTAATAATAATAAGGTTAAAATTAGTATAGCACCTGAATCCAAGGTTTGCTCTAAGGCGCTTGGTCGAATGCTCTGTTAAAAAGAACTGTTTTTAGTTCTTTTTTGAATGGAATGATGTTTTTCAAGTTTTCAGGTAGTTGGTTCCATAACAGAGGACCTGCTTTAAAGAATTCAAGAGCATTATACAAAACAAAGTGAACAAAAAACAATAGTATGAAAAACCTGATGATTCGAGTCTCACTGCCAGCTAAGGATTTCCCAGCTTAGTAATGGTGATGATTATTATTTTGTCAATATAGGGGACGTTGTCAGAATCAAAATCTCTCGAATATACTGGCATGTCATCAAAGGTGGGCACATAAGACGGACAAACCATGACGTGTGTCGGACAGACAAACCATATAGTATGAACAGAAATTGAGAATTTTAGGAATATGTTTAATTGGATTTCTAGTATAAACAACCTTGACCAGCTATCAAGTGCTTGGTTTCATTCAAGAGAGACAACTTTGTATCAGCGCCCAAAGTACAGTCCGAAATATAACGTGTGGGGTGGCATATCTGTGTTAGGGGCAACGCCCCTCTGTGTATTTGAAGGGAACAGTGAGCGGTACACAGATATTCTCGAGGGACATTTACTTCCATCTGCTCACGTGTTCTATGGAAATGTTTGGATTTTCCAGCAGGACAACGGCCCAAAACATCGTTCAAAGCATTCAAAATATGACATTATTAGATTGGCCAAGCTATAGCCCTGACCTAAATCCAATAGAAAATGTTTGGGGACTTATGAAGGAAAGTGTCAATAAGAAAAATCTGACAAATATTGCTGAAATGAAAGAAGAGGTGGTCCGATATTGGGACAGCATGGACCACGACCTTCTAACTTCTTTGATCAGTAGTATGCCCCGCCGCATTGAAGCCTGCATTGCTTCCCATGGTGACTTGACAAAATACTAACTGTTCACCTGTCTTTGAATCTGGAGTTATGTTCTGCTAATATTCACATTTAATATGTGAGTAATGAGTGAAATTTTTTTTACAATCTTAAATTCTCAATAATTTCTGGTTGTACTGTATATATATATGACGTGTCAGACACAAATCATGATAGGCGCCGGACAGACAAAGCATGACGTGCAGGACACACAAAGTATGATGGGCACTGCAGATACATATTACTACACAAGCTCATTCATCTTCAGTCGTGAGGTAATAACTGCTGCTTGCTGTGATCCTGGTGTACTGGGAGTAGGGGTAAAATGGTACGCTCTTACCATGGTACGGTACGTATTGCGGTACAAGGCCCTTGGTTCGGTCCGTTTCGGTTCGGTATATGAGATATGGTCATAATGTTTTTAACAATACACAAATCAGATCTTGTCAAATGTGACTGTGTGGATGACATTTCACAGATAAATAAATTAACAAATTAACACAACACAGGTGTCATAAGACAGTTACAGTCTGTGTGACTGATCATTGTCATTGTTCTAAATCTATCTCTCGTTTCAGTTGGTTAAACATTTAGAGACTTTCCACAGTCCTTGGGAAGTACTGCTACACAATCTTCGTACATTCCAGAATTTTGTTTTATTCAGTTTTCAGATTCATTCAAAGTATGTTTCAAAGTTCACTCAGAAATGTACTCCTTTTTGAAACAATCTTGTTTTAGCTTGAGTATTACGCTGCTTTCTCTTTTTATTGGTCGTTAAATGTTCATTGGTCTGATATATGGGTTAGGCATCTGACTTTGTGTGCTGGCGATTAGGTGCCTGACTCTGAGGATGTGTGTTCGAATCCCAGATGGGACTGAACCCAACAAAAGTACTGGAATCTGTACACTACTAAGAAAGTGTAATGTTACTTAAAAAGGTTAATAAAATGACGGTCGGAAAACCAAAAAGACCCACTAATTTTTCGATTGCATTACAGTATACTGAACTGAAGGCAAAATACCGCCATTCTACTAATACCGCGGTATACCGTTTCACCCCTAACTGGGAGATCAATAGAGGCAGCAATAAGTTCATGGGCCATGGTGACTACATCAGCCGAGTCTTTAATGATGCCAAGTTATCACATTTGGCCAGGAAAACACAACTTGATAGTTCCTGTTATCACAGCTGCTTCAAACAACCAACTAGAATGTAACGGTATAAAACAACCAACTAGAATGTAACGGTATAAAAACTATCATGCAGTAGGAAACAATATTGCTGTTTCCATCTCTCAATAAAATTTCTCAAGTATCAACATATTTGTTGTTTTGCATATACAATCTTCACCACCATGTAGTGAGTAAAACAACCTAAGGCCAGACCAGACAATTTCTTGTTTTACGGATCCGCCAGTCGTATTTTTTCAAGAATAAGAAAAAAAATAAAACTTAATTTTCCCTGCTCAAAAAATTAAATTCAAATGTTTTTATTGGCCAAAAGTGTAAACTTATAAGAAAAATGTTTTTTAGAATGTTTTTTTGCCCCATATACACTTCATAAATTGCCAAAGTAAAATACTTAGGATTTAGAAGGAAAATTACTTTGACTGGTGATTTTTATTTTTTTCCCTCCTGCCTTTAGTTTTCTGAGGACAAAAATCCGTAAAACAAGAAATAAGATTGGTCTGGCCTAAGAACAAAGAAAGACAAACACTAGGACTAAACCCTAGCTGGTAGGTCACGAGATGTGACTAACTGGACGTGACCACACTAGACGTGAGCTCACTGTGTTGTGAAGGGGACTCTCTGAGCAGAGTACATGACATCGGTCCTGATGGTGTACTTCCGTCCCTCCAGTAGCGTGGAGCCCTCATGTAGCATGTCGTGTTGGAACACCAGGACTGAGCCTGTGGAGAGATGGAGACATTATTATCCATGATGCTATTGCAGAAAATGTTCACAGTAATTCTAACATTCCGTCTCTAAGAAATCTGATGTTTGACTCCAGTACAACACAACTCTGCATGATCAGCTGAGGACACCTTAATAACATGTCCTGCCATGTCATGTCGCTTTCTTGTCTGCCAGTCAAGCTTTCAGATGAGCATAACTGGTTACTGCATCTTAAACATCAGATTGAACAACCAGCTTTGAATGCAGATAAATGAGTACCAGTGAGTTCCACTAAGTACCATCAAGTGTACCCTAGCTTGTGTCCCAGCATGTGTACCATTGGGTACCATACCATACCATCAAAGAAATAGTTTTCTATTTCAGTTCTTTTGTACAACTGTGGTTAAGAAATGAAGCCACATGATATTTGAAAGCGGCATCTGTTTGGCTCAGTTGTTTAGATGCTGGCTGCCAATGATCCCAATATCACTGTAGGTAATACGTAAACGTCTATAGTCCGTTTGGCTCAAAAGCGGACCGATGAATTGCAATCTAACTCGAAAACTAATAAACATAAAATACTCAATGAAACACTGATCATAATCAAAACCTCAGACCAACTCTGTGAGGTATTTTTGCAGAATTTATGTCCTAAAAATAAAAAAGTTGTTTAACAAACTATCATTAAAATATCGACACAGTTCACTATTTGTTATGAGGGAGGAGTGCAGAGAAAGGGACAGCTAGGTGTGCGAGAAAGGATGGAGACGGGACAGCACAGGTTAATGAATCAATAGTGAACTGTGTCGACTTAGATTGCAATTCATCGGTCCGCTTTTGAGCCAAACGGACTATAGACTGGTTTGTTGTTTTGTTGTTTAATGTTGCACTCGGTGATTCCAGCAAAATGGCAGCAGTCTGTAAATAAGTGAGTCTGGACCAGCGGATCCACTCATCACCATCACTATTGTCAATCTATGCAGTTGAGTGAGTGAGTGAATTTGGTTTTATGCCGCTTTTAGCAATATTCCAGCAATATCACGGCGGGGTTACACCAGAAATGGGATTCACACATTGTGCCCATGTGGGGAATGGAACCCGGGTTTTCGGCGTGACGAGCAAACACTTTAACCACTAGGCTACCCCACCGTCCTCTATACAGTTGGGACATGATGCCGTGTCAACCAAGTCAGTGAGTCGGACAACCTGGTCCTGTGTGTTGTCTTATATGACACGCACGGGAAGCTGAAGGCCAACTCTAACCTCCTGGATCATTAGGGACTAGACTAGTAGACTGGGACATATCAATGATAAGTTGTTGAGGAACCTGCACCCAAAAGCTGGCTGCTCTTGTCTGTGATCAGTTCTACCTGTTTTGGGGACCACGGGGATGCTATCCTTTGTTCTGTATGAGAAGAAAGTTGTGCTTCCCCCAACAAATCCCTGAAAGAAAACATTGGAAATGATAAATCTAAAGAATACTTTTACTGTCACAACGGCCTGCCTCCATCATGGACCAGGAATCGGACAGCACCAGGTTCATGGACGTCATATGTAGCATTTCGTCGTAATTGGAAAATAGCACATTCATGTAATGATAACATAAAAATGTTTATCCAGCTAAAAGAACAAAAGTTGTACATTACCCCCACAACAGCCCCAGTCATTCTCCTACTACAGCTGTACAGAGATGTAGTCACACACACACACACACACACACACACACACACACACACACACACACACACACACACACACACACACACGCACACACACACGTTCGAGGCCACAGCTGTACAGTCACACATCCACACACCATGTCCCCAGCTCCACCTCGTTCAAGTACACCTGTACAGTGATGTGGTTGCCTCACCTCGTTCAAGTACACCTGTACACTGATGTGGTTGCCTCACCTCATTCAAGTACACCTGTACAGCGATGTAGTCACACACCTCATTCAAGGACACCTGTACAGTGATGTAGTCACACATCTCATTCAAGTACACCTGTACACTGACATGGTTGCTTCACCTCATTCAAGTACACCTGTAGTGATGTGGTTTCCTCACCTCATTCAAGTACACCTGTACAGTGATGTGGTTTCCTCACCTCATTCAAGTTCACCTGTACACTGATGTAATCACACACCTCATTCAAGTACACCTGTACAGTGATGTGGTTGCCTCACCTCATTCAAGTACACCTGTACAGTGATGTGGTTGCCTCACCTCATTCAAGTACACCTGTAGTGATGTGGTTTCCTCACCTCATTCAAGTACACCTGTACACTGACATGGTTACTTCACCTCATTCAAGTACACCTGTACACTGATGTGGTTTCCTCACCTCATTCAAGTACACCTGTACAGTGACATGGTTGCCTCACCTCATTCAAGTACACCTGTACAGTGATGTGGTTGCCTCACCTCATTCAAGTTCACCTGTACAGTGATGGAATCACACACCTCATTCAAGTACACCTGTACAGTCATGTGGTTGCCTCACCTCATTCAAGTACACCTGTACAGTGATGTAGTCACACACCTCATTCAAGTACACCTGTACAGTGATGTGGTTGCCTCACCTCATTCAAGTACACCTGTACAGTGATGTAGTCACACACCTCATTCAAGTACACCTGTACAGTCATGTGGTTGCCTCATCTCATTCAAGTACACCTGTACAGTGATGTGGTTGCCTCATCTCATTCAAGTACACCTGTACAGTGATGTGGTTGCCTCACCTCATTCAAGTACACCTGTACAGTCATGTGGTTGCCTCATCTCATTCAAGTACACCTGTACAGTGATGTGGTTGCCTCACCTCATTCAAGTACACCTGTACAGTGATGTGGTTGCCTCACCTCATTCAAGGACACCTGTACAGTGATGTAGTCCCACACCTCATTCAAGTACACCTGTACAGTGATGTGGTTGCCTCACCTCATTCAAGTACACCTGTACAGTGATGTGGTTGCTCTCACCTCATTCAAGTACACCTGTACAGTGATGTGGTTGCCTCACCTCATTCAAGTACACCTGTACAGTGATGTGGTTGCCTCACCTCATTCAAGTACATCTGTACAGTCATGTGGTTGCCTCTCACCTCATTCAAGTACACCTGTACACTGATGTGGGTGCCTCATCCCATTCAAGTACACCTGTACAGTGATGTGGTTGCCTCACCTCATTCAAGTACACCTGTACAGTCATGTGGTTGCCTCACCTCATTCAAGTACACCTGTACAGTCATGTGGTTGCCTCACCTCATTCAAGTACACCTGTACACTGATGTGGTTGCCCTCATCTCATTCAAGCACACCTGTACACTGATGTGGTTGCCTCATCTCATTCAAGGTACACCTGTACAGTGATGTGGTTGCCTCACCTCATTCAAGTACACCTGTACAGTCATGTGGTTGCCTCACCTCATTCAAGTACACCTGTACAGTGATGTGGTTGCCTCATCTCATTCAAGTACACCTGTACAGTGATGTGGTTGCCTCACCTCATTCAAGTACACCTGTACAGTCATGTGGTTGCCTCACCTCATTCAAGTACACCTGTACAGTGATGTGGTTGCCTCACCTCATTCAAGTACACCTGTACAGTGATGTGGTTGCCTCACCTCATTCAAGTTCACCTCTACAGCGATGTAGTCCCACACCTCATTCAAGTACACCTGTACAGTGATGTGGTTGCCTCACCTCATTCAAGTACACCTGTACAGTGATGTGGGTGCCTCACCTCATTCAAGTACACCTGTACAGTGATGTGGGTGCCTCACCTCATTCAAGTACACCTGTACACTGATGTGGTTGCCTCACCTCATTCAAGTACACCTGTACAGCGATGTAGTCACACACCTCATTCAAGGACACCTGTACAGTGATGTAGTCACACATCTCATTCAAGTACACCTGTACACTGACATGGTTGCTTCACCTCATTCAAGTACACCTGTAGTGATGTGGTTTCCTCACCTCATTCAAGTACACCTGTAGTGATGTGGTTTCCTCACCTCATTCAAGTACACCTGTACACTGACATGGTTACTTCACCTCATTCAAGTACACCTGTACACTGATGTGGTTTCCTCACCTCATTCAAGTACACCTGTACAGTGACATGGTTGCCTCACCTCATTCAAGTACACCTGTACAGTGATGTGGTTGCCTCACCTCATTCAAGTTCACCTGTACAGTGATGGAATCACACACCTCATTCAAGTACACCTGTACAGTCATGTGGTTGCCTCACCTCATTCAAGTACACCTGTACAGTGATGTAGTCACACACCTCATTCAAGTACACCTGTACAGTGATGTGGTTGCCTCACCTCATTCAAGTACACCTGTACAGTGATGTAGTCACACACCTCATTCAAGTACACCTGTACAGTCATGTGGTTGCCTCATCTCATTCAAGTACACCTGTACAGTGATGTGGTTGCCTCACCTCATTCAAGTACACCTGTACAGTGATGTGGTTGCCTCACCTCATTCAAGTACACCTGTACAGTCATGTGGTTGCCTCATCTCATTCAAGTACACCTGTACAGTGATGTGGTTGCCTCACCTCATTCAAGTACACCTGTACAGTGATGTGGTTGCCTCACCTCATTCAAGTCTCAGTTTGCCTCATTCAAGGACACCTGTACAGTGATGTAGTCCCACACCTCATTCAAGTACACCTGTACAGTGATGTGGTTGCCTCACCTCATTCAAGTACACCTGTACAGTGATGTGGTTGCCTCACCTCATTCAAGTACACCTGTACAGTGATGTGGTTGCCTCACCTCATTCAAGTACACCTGTACAGTGATGTGGTTGCCTCACCTCATTCAAGTACATCTGTACAGTCATGTGGTTGCCTCACCTCATTCAAGTACACCTGTACACTGATGTGGGTGCCTCATCCCATTCAAGTACACCTGTACAGTGATGTGGTTGCCTCACCTCATTCAAGTACACCTGTACAGTCATGTGGTTGCCTCACCTCATTCAAGTACACCTGTACAGTCATGTGGTTGCCTCACCTCATTCAAGTACACCTGTACACTGATGTGGTTGCCTCATCTCATTCAAGTACACCTGTACACTGATGTGGTTGCCTCATCTCATTCAAGTACACCTGTACAGTGATGTGGTTGCCTCACCTCATTCAAGTACACCTGTACAGTCATGTGGTTGCCTCACCTCATTCAAGTACACCTGTACAGTGATGTGGTTGCCTCACCTCATTCAAGTACACCTGTACAGTGATGTGGTTGCCTCACCTCATTCAAGTACACCTGTACAGTCATGTGGTTGCCTCACCTCATTCAAGTACACCTGTACAGTGATGTGGTTGCCTCACCTCATTCAAGTACACCTGTACAGTGATGTGGTTGCCTCACCTCATTTAAGTACACCTGTACAGTGATGTGGTTGCCTCACCTCATTCAAGTACACCTGTACAGTGATGTAGCTCCTTTCCCCGTTGTCCCTCTGATAGACACCATCCTCGTGAGGTTTGAAGTATTCTCCCGGGTTGTAGCGGAGGAAGCGGAGTCTGAAGTTATAGATTATCAACATTCTTCACCTTCCACACAAACAGTTCCAGAGAGCAATGTTTTACACTTATATCTTGACTAATACATTATATAAATGTAGGTTAGTACTGTAGGCTGTGAGTGACCCTCATCTAAAGGAACACTAGGCTGGCTTACCTTTCATTCAAACCCATGACCCTTCTTTCACTGAATACTTCAGGTACAAATTCTTTGATCCTGTCCCAGATTTTCTTGGCCTCTTCTTCCGAGTCCCAGATATTTCGTGAACTGTTCCTGATATCTGTCCTTGTCACCCTGGGGACAGGAAATGACCGTTACCCCCGACTCACACAAGTTACTTCCTCGATTCACATAATTAGTTATCTTCACATGTACAAAGTACAATACTGATTCACATGTCAGATATCTGAATCACATACACCCTGTCTCCAATTCTTGTGACATTTTCAAACTAATAAATTATCTCCCCTTATTCACAAAGGTATACATTTTCAAACTAACAAATTATCTCCCCTTATGTACAAGGCCACCATTTCAGCATTGTCACATTATAATCCCTTATTTTACATGTGAGATATTTTCTCAATGACATTGACATGTCTCCCAGAGATGAGATGTAAGAGCTGTCAGTTAACATACTGTTTAACCCCAGTGTTGACCTGGGCCAAGATGTACCCCCTCCTCTCCGTCTCGTCGATGTACCATTGACACTCCTGGGGAAACAACAAGTACATCCACACTTACTCCACTGTCAATGTTACACTTTCAACATTAACATTGTAAACCAAGAGATTTCATAGCTGGAAAGTACCTTAAGCCAATTTCATAGAATTACAAAAACATCACTTCTCAATATGACCGAAATCGTCAAATCACTTCTCATATACAGATGATATTATCACAAAACCAATACGTGTATGTCACTGATATTATATCACACATTGTATCAGCATCACTGACCTGTAAACACAACATATATTTGACAGCTATGTCATCATATAAAATCCCTTTTTCACCAGTTTCATTAGTGATTAACGATCAATAATGCATATTTATGAGGGAAAATAAAATATCTATTTCAAAATAAATTGTATGTAATTTTTCACACATTTTCACACCGTGTGCAGACATTTTGTCCTATGGGATTTTGTCCTACCCTCATTCTATGCACATACCTCCGGTGTGAGGACATTTTCCAGAACAAATGCAAGTTTGTGCTTTAAATCGTCTGGGAGATTGATTTCCTTGTACACAATCTCTGGCTTGTCGCCCATCCTGACCTGGATACAGAAAAAACAGCATCACAACACTGACAACATACAAACAGCAGGGCCATGCCATCATGAAAGTCGTGTCCACCACCAACACCTGGTGTCAAGGTCACTGAGGCTCCATTTAGTAGCCATGCACATCAGGAGATCCCAACCAGCATCAACCATGACCAGGGTACATACCTGCCTAGCGCTGGGGACTTATTGATTTAATGATTCAGTGGCGGCTTTTGGGGTTGGGTGGGGTTGGGGTGTGTGTGTGTGTGTGTGTGTTTCGAAACCACCCACCCACCCCCTTTTGGGGGGGTAAAATGACTAAAGACCACATTGAAGTTAATGCTTTCCATTGGCAGAGCCAAGGTGGGGTTCAGAGGGTTCGAACACCCTGAACACCCCCCACACCCCCTTTGAAAATTTCTGGATGCGCCTATGTGATCTGTGTATTACCTTCCATTTCTTCACATGTCACCAAGCAGTGCTGTTACCCCTCTTTGCCCATTACCTATCGTGTTGATCATCTGGATTAATTCCCGGCTTCTGTTGGTCTACTCCCATTTGTGAGAACTCCCAGTTGTGAGACTCCCAGTTGTGAGACAGTGGAGTTGGTAATTAGCAAAGAAAACACACCTTACTCCCCTATCTGATAGAATGGATTAACCCCAGCTAGTTTTGGATTAGCTATTTAACTGAATCTTGTGGAGGTAACTTAATGAAATCTAAAAGATAAAGTAATTAACCTACTCAGATAAATGGCTTTAAAAAATAAACACTTTGTGTAGGTAACTTCGTGATCATTTGAAAGAGAAATTAATCTACCTACTCAGATTTACGTGTTTGAAAAATCTAGCAATAACTGTTGTAACTATAATTAATCCAAATGTATTCCATTAACCTGTGACTGCTCTTTCCGATCACCATTATGGCAGGCCTTCAACACGTAGAATATATCACCAGTTCACGATAATCTTTTTCAGTATTTCAGTATCTAATGAAAACAATAAATGCTCTTCAACGAACAATGTCTTCTGTGTTAATTAACTCATTAATGAACCATGCCTCCTGCAGGTACTCTTCAGCAACAGGGCTGTTCCCACTTTCATCGTAGGGATGGGGAAGCACCACTGGTGTGCACTGAACCATTAATTAATGTGTCTCACAACTTGGAGTTCTCACAAATGGGAGGACACCCTTCTGTTTGATCATTGTCATTACCAATCAGCGCCATATAACTACTGGTGTACCCTGTTGAGCGCCCACCATTGTTATCTGATCGCTGTTGTTTCCCATGTACTTATATAGCTATCTGCTACAGTTATTCACCGATAAAATTAAGAACATAAACCGAAACGTACTTTTCTTCTTAACGAAGAAGCTGGCATAATTTTTTTACACATCATTGTTTCATAAATAGGTTTGAAAAATTGACACATTTGGTTGTTTTCACGTCTATCCACTGATTTGTTTTTATAAATCACACATAATCAAACGGTCATGCAGAGACTCGCAGGACGAGTCACGATTTGTACCGCGACATAATACGTCCTTCTACTGTTTGTCACTGACTGTCAACATGCCATACAACATACAAACACGTACTCACCAGGTGTGTGTCGCTGTTTAACTGAGACGGGACAGTAAGTCCACTACGACTTTATGCCTCTGTCATTACTTCCTGCTTGTCCAGGGAATCCCGAACTCTATTTTAAGAATCCTACGCACAAAATATTTTAGGCAATATGATTGGTCAATGCTGACATCACAGGGCATGCAACACGCATTTGGCTGCACGTAGTCGTGTTACGCAAACATGTGGTTTTGTTGTTGATTTGTGTATACACAACATGGAAGGGTGACGCTATAAGTGAACAACATATTAAGGAAATACTATATCGTATTCAACAAAAGGGAGAGGTGATAACAAACCTGGCCATTGAAATGTGAAACTACAGACCGATACATTATCACTAGATATGATTTACCATTTAAACTGTAGATTATGTTGTAATAGACAGACATTATGATAAACATTTATCTTTTTAAACTGAGTGGTACATAGAAATAATGACATTTTCTAACAATTTACCAGTGATTCGGTTAAAAATATTCAAATATAATTATAACTTCAAGAGGATTTGATGCAATGATCAGATGTATTTTATCCTAAATATATATGTTATCAAAATGATATATTCCAATATAGAGCTCTTCTGGTTACACGTTTTGTTTCACATAATAAAACAATAATAACAATAAAACCCTACTATCTAGCTACAAGTGATTGTTATTGCTGGATATGTTTGCCGTTTTAAACAAATAACCGGTCACCGTTTAGTAGATGAGTGAAAATAGAATGCAATAGTCGTAACGTCAACCTATTATTGTACGTTATGTTGATCCTAACATTTAGCAGTACTACAAAAAAAACCAGTCCGTTTGGCTCAAAAGCGGACCGATGAATTGCAATCTAACTCGAAAACTAATAAACATAACATACTCAATGAAACGCTGATCATAATCAAAACATCATACCCACTCTGTGAGGTTTTTGCAGAATTTTTGTCCTAAAAATAAAAAAGTTGTTTAACAATCTATCATTAAAATATTGACACAGTTCACTATATGTTACGAGGGAGGAGTGCAGAGAAAGGGACAGCCAGGTGTTCGAGAAGCACGTTCACAGACAAAGTTATTTATTCATTAACCTGTGCTGTGCCGTCTCCATCCGTTCTTATGTTTATTAGTTTTCGAGATAGATTGCCATTCATCGGTCCGCTTTTGAAACAAACGGACTATAGTTACAGTAGTAGCCTGTTGGAGGAATGTATCCGACAATATCTACATAAAGAACAAATGTCCCACAAAACTGAAGGTTTCAAATAAACTTGTTCGACGTGACATGTATTTATAAGAATCCAGTATTAAATGCATATTGAGTTTCGATGTAATTTAACTTACTTTCGTCTATCATCTGTGTCATATTTTATAAGTCAGCTGAGATAGCGCACGTGACAACTCTGTTCACGCTGTCCATACCTGAGTTCGATTACAATGAGCAATTCATCAATGCTTAATAGTGCCGACCACGTCGTCAACGTTACGCCAGTGTCAGACAGAGACATCGATTTGGCGGTAGCAATGTCATGGTGTGGGGAGCACAAACCGCACGTGTCAGGAGTGACCTTCTTTCCAAACACTCGCCGCGAATAGCTGATGCGGCTTAAGCGATCTTAACTCACTCACTCATTGAGAAAATTATATATGAACAGACAGATTCACAGGACAAGTATTATGATATGAGAATACGAATGCCATCAGTGAATAATAATGTATGAATATGTTTTCTATCCTCGGAGATCGAAGAGCCTGTGAAAGTGTATGCCTCCTGAACACTACGGTTCCATCTGTAGACTTCCCTGTTCACAGCGTCATCAGTGGAGCGGCAGCGCAGCAGACCTGGGGAACCAGACAGAAGAAGGATCGCCATTCCATCTGTGGCAGAAAGGAGATATGAACATGACCAAGAACGCCGCAATGGGGGGTCAGCTCACTGACACTCTTTAGTGTCAGGAATCCTTCACAGGCAGTACAAAACAGGCAGCCATACATAAAGTGCCAATATTCTGCGCAGTTGATTCTATAATTAGAAAAGGGATTTCCCAGACGAAAGGCAGCAAGAAAAATTGGCACCATACTGATCGGCATATTGAGGAACAGCATGGGAGCAGATCAGTCTGTGAGTATTCAGTAGTTGGTTCCATCTGTCAAGGTCTGTCTATAGTGTGTGTTCAGCATGTATGTTATGACATGCAGGCATACATGCATCCCTGGAACTAAATACTTGAAGCCATACATGCATCCCTGGAACTAAATACTTGAAGTCATACATGCATGGAACTAAATACTTGAAGTCATACATGCATTCCTGCATGGAACTAATAAACTGCACTCGTTTCTTTTCTGAGAATCCAGCAATTCCTATGTGTTACTTGTGTGAATACTGCAAAATCCTAACTTAAAAAGAAATATGATAATGGTGCAGTCAAATAAAAAACAATTTCTAATTGACCGTTCATTGTTCTTTATTCAGATTGATGAAAGGCCAGAGATTGTGTACAGGAAGGTTGATCTGCCAGAGGACTCCAAGCACAAACTAGCATTTGTCCTGGAAAATGTCCTGTCGCCAGAGGTACGAAACAAATATAGTAGTAAATATATTGTAGGATCATTAAGCTCACAATAACAATACTTAAAGAGAAATGTTTATAGCCAACACTAGAAAGATAACCTTAATAGAGTATTTGTCACAACCTATATCAGATGTATGTCAAAGGTGATACCCCATTTTGCAGACACCCCAGTTGTCAGACACTTGAGTGAGGATGGAGAAGGCTCACCCCTACAGTAACAATAGACCTGCGTCCGAATCAGTTTACGTAGAGAGTTTCTTAACCAGCCCCACTGTGTCTACTAGTCCCTGTATCAAATATCTACACGTCTTACTACACAACATCTCTGACCACACCCACTACACCCCTAACCACACCCACTACACCTCTAACCACACCCACTACACCTCTAACCACACCCACTACACCTCTAACCACACCCACTACACCTCTAACCACATCCACTACACCTCTAACCACATCCACTACACCTCTAACCTCACCCACTACACCTCTAACATCCACTACACATCCACTACACCTCTAACCACATCCACTACACCTCTAACCACACCCACTACACCTCTAACCACACCCACTACACCTCTAACCACATCCACTACACCTCTAACCACACCCACTACACCTCTAACCACATCCACTACACCTCTAACCACATCCACTACACCTCTAACCACACCCACTACACCTCTAACCACACCCACTACACCTCTAACCACATCCACTACACCTCTAACCACACCCACTACACCACCTCTAACCACACCCACTACACCTCTAACCACATCCACTACACCCTCTAACCACACCCACTACACCTCTAACCACACCCACTACACCTCTAACCACACCCACTACACCCCTAACCACACCCACTACACCTCTAACCACATCCACTACACCTCTAACCACACCCACTACACCTCTAACCACACCCACTACACCTCTAACCACATCCACTACACCTCACTACTCTAACCACACCCACTACACCTCTAACCACACCCACTCAACACACACCCACTACACCCTACACCTCTAACCACATCCACTACACCTCTAACCACATCCACTACACCTCTAACCACACCCACTACACCTCTAACCACATCCACTACACCTCTAACCACACCCACTACACCTCTAACCTCACCCACTCACCCACACACCTCTAACCACACCCACTACACCTCTAACCACACCCACTACACCTCTAACCACATCCACTACACCTCTAACCACACCCACTACACCTCTAACCACACCCACTACACCTCTAACCACACCCACTACACCTCTAACCACACCCACTACACCTCTAACCACACCCACTACACCTCTAACCACACCCACTACACCTCTAACCACACCCACTACACCTCTAACCACACCCACTACACACCTCTAACCACATCCACTACACCTCTAACCACACCCACTACACCTCTAACCACACCCCTCCACTCCACACACCTCTAACCACACCCACTACACCTCTAAATAGCCATACATCACCTGTGGAACATCTGACTATTGCATGTACTGAAGGTGGTAGATATATCAGATACAGCAGGAATGTCAGTGGTGACATCACCTGTGGAACATCTGACTATTGCATGTACTGAAGGTGGTAGATATATCAGATACAGCATACATCACCTGTGGAACATCTGACTATTGCATGTACTGAAGGTGGTAGATATATCAGATATATCAGATACAGCTGACATCACCTGTGGAACATCTGACTATTGCATGTACTGAAGGTGGTAGATATATCAGATACAGCATACATCACCTGTGGAATATCTGACTATTGCATGTACTGAAGGTGGTAGATATATCAGATACAGCATACATCACCTGTGGAACATCTGACTATTGCATGTACTGAAGGTGGTAGATATATCAGATACAGCATGACATCACCTGTGGAATATCTGACTATTGCATGTACTGAAGGTGGTAGATATATCAGATACAGCATACATCACCTGTGGAACATCTGACTATTGCACATCACCTGTGGAGATATCTGACTATTGCATGTACTGAAGGTGGTAGATATATCAGATACAGCATACATCACCTGTGGAACATCTGACTATTGCATGTACTGAAGGTGGTAGATATATCAGATACAGCTGACATCACCTGTGGAATATCTGACTATTGCATGTACTGAAGGTGGTAGATATATCAGATACAGCATACATCACCTGTGGAATATCTGACTATTGCATGTACTGAAGGTGTACTGAAGGTGGTAGATCACCTGTGGAATATCAGATATTGCATGTACTGAAGGTGGTAGATATATCAGATCACCTGTGGGAATATCTGACTATTGCATGTACTGAAGGTGGTAGATATATCAGATACATACATCACCTGTGGATCTGACTATTGCATGTACTGAAGGTGGTAGATATATCAGATACAGCTACATCACCTGTGGAACATCTGACTATTGCATGTACTGAAGGTGGTAGATATATCAGATACAGCATACATCACCTGTGGAACATCTGACTATTGCATGTACTGAAGGTGGTAGATATATCAGATACAGCATACATCACCTGTGGAACATCTGACTATTGCATGTACTGAAGGTGGTAGATATATCAGATACAGCATACATCACCTGTGGAACATCTGACTATTGCATGTACTGAAGGTGGTAGATATATCAGATACAGCATACATCACCTGTGGAACATCTGACTATTGCATATAGGGCTCTCGGTTGACAAGCTGAAACATAGTTTCCGTGTTTGATGATGGTGTTTTCAACTATTGAGTAATAAGGATCTATATTTCCAGACTTCGCTTCCTCCGCTACGAACCTGGAGAATATTTCAGGATCCACATGGATGGGATATACACGAGGAAAAACATGGACCAAAGTTTCATCACTGTACAGCTGTATCTGAATGAGGTGAGGTGGCTACATCACTGTACAGCTGTATCTGAATGAGGTGAGGTGGCTACATCACTGTACAGCTGTATCTGAATGAGGTGAGGTGGTGACATCACTGTACAGCTGTATCTGAATGAGGTGAGGTGGTGACATCACTGTACAGCTGTATCTGAATGAGGTGAGGTGGCTACATCACTGTACAGCTGTATCTGAATGAGGTGAGGTGGCTACATTACTGTACAGCTGTATCTGAATGAGGTGAGGTGGTGACATCACTGTACAGCTGTATCTGAATGAGGTGAGGTGGTGACATCACTGTACAGCTGTATCTGAATGAGGGTGAGGTGGCGACATCACTGTACAGCTGTATCTGAATGAGGGGAGGTGGTGACATTACTGTACAGCTGTATCTGAATGAGGGGAGGTGGTTACATCACTGTACAGCTGTATCTGAATGAGGGGAGGTGGCTACATCACTGTACAGCTGTATCTGAATGAGGGGAGGTGGCTACATCACTGTACAGCTGTATCTGAATGAGGTGAGGTGACATCACTGTACAGCTACAGCTGTATCTGAATGAGGTGAGGTGGTGACATCACTGTACAGCTGTATCTGAATGAGGTGAGGTGGCTACATCACTGTACAGCTGTATCTGACAGAAAGGTGTTGTAGGGAATAGTGTAAGGAGGATGTGGATCACACCAAGGAATGAGGGAGACATTAGTATGACTGGTGACACCACAACGGCAAGTCCACTTTCAAACCATTACTGAACAAATACAGCCAACAAAAATTCCATTTGCCAAAATCTTTACATTAAACCTATTCATTATGTAATTCAGACATTTTTGGGTGAAAAAAGTATTGAAAATGTAACAGTAAAATTGAATGCATTACCCAACAAAATCTTCGGCTCTTATCCTTTAGAATAACCAAAATGGGGGAACAACCACCTTCAAACCCCAAAAACTTGGCTTTCTCATCATCTTCAGTACAAAATCAGCCTTGAAAGAACTAAAGATTTATTGCAGAAGATGTTTCATAGTAGGTGGGATGGTAGATGTAGGGATGGTAGGTGGGATGGTAGATGTCGGGATGGTAGGTGGGATGGTAGATGTCGGGATGGTAGATGTCGGGATGGTAGATGTCGGGATGGTAGGTGGGATGGTAGATGTCGGGATGGTAGGTGGGATGGTAGATGTCGGGATGGTAGATGTCCGAGGGATGGTAGGTGTGGGATGGTAGGTGGGATGGTAGGTGGGATGGTAGATGTCGGGATGGTAGGTGGGATGGTAGATGTCGGGATGGTAGATGTCAGGATGGTAGGTGGGATGGTAGATGTCGGGATGGTAGGTGGGATGGTAGATGTAAGGGATGGTAGGTGGAATGGTAGGTGGGATGGTAGGTGGGATGGTAGATGTCGGGATGGTAGATGTCGGGGATGGTAGGTGGGATGGTAGATGTATCCGGGATGGTAGGTGGGATGGTAGATGTGGGATGGTAGATGTCGGGATGGTAGGTGGGATGGTAGGTGGGATGGTAGGTGGGATGGTAGATGTCGTCGGATGGTAGATGTCCGGGATGGTAGGTGGGATGGTAGGTGGGATGGTAGATGTGGGATGGTAGATGTCGGGATGGTAGATGTCGGGATGGTAGATGTCGGGATGGTAGATGTCGGGATGGTAGGTGGGATGGTAGATGTCGGGGATGGTAGGTGGGATGGTAGGTGGGATGGTAGATGTCGGGATGGTAGATGTGGGATGGTAGATGTCGGGGATGGTAGATGTCGGGATGGTAGGTGGGATGGTAGATGTCGGGATGGTAGGTGGGATGGTAGATGTCGGAGCGGTGTGTACAGCTTCCACTGATACAGTCAACTCCATTCCTGTGCATTATAATGTGTAAATTACAGATTTAAAACAATACCTATGCATATCAGTTCCCATTCATAATCCAGTTAAGTTAAAATCAAAATTTCAAATGTATTCAAAATATAAATCTTTTCATGAACTGGCACTTTCAATCAAATATTCCAACATAGATTATATTTAGCAAACAAATTGAGAAAACTCCTCACATCGCTGGTCTTACTTAATGAACAATGTATATAGAGATGACATGTCGTGAGTCGCTCCGGATGTCCCACCAACATCACAGACCTTTGTTTCACCATTGTTTCACATTGTGTCATAAGTTATTGTCACGTGTTTGTAAATATTGAGGTGCTGAAGTGTAAAGCCAGGCTGATTTTACTGTTTCACTTTTATAATGTTCGTCACTATATTGCGTTTAACAGCCAAAAGAATCTGTTTTGTTGGAAAGTTGAGACTGGTTATTGTCAAGCTTTGCCGTGTTATTTTCAGGGCTTTAAAGGAGGAAGTACAACATTCTTCTCCCATGATTGTTCACAGAAGGTGCCAGTTGTACCTGTGAAAGGTAAAGTTGTCAAACTTATGACTCAGATAAGTGTCAATTGCACACATCTGTCCACTTACTATGAACTCTCAGCTTTTAATCTTCAGTTTTAATTTTTTTTTAAAGATTTCTGAACTCCTATGTCCGCCCATTCTCCCCATTCTCCCCACCCCATTCCTCCCACCCATTCTCCACCTCATCTCTCCACCCCAACCTCCACCCCCATCTCCCCACCCCATCCTCCACCCCATCTCTCCAACCCCCCATGTCCCCACCCCAACTCTCCACCTCCCCCCCTCCACCCCATGTCTCCCCCTCACCCTCCACCCTATCTCCCACCCCACCCTGCACTCCCCATCTCCACACCCCTCCACCCCCATCTCGATATGCCAACTCCATTTGTTGCTGTATTTATTATATTACCTTGAAACTGTCACATTCCTGACAGGATCAGCCCTGATATTCCAACATGACATTCTACGAGGGTTCGGAGGTGGTGGAGGGAATGAAGTATTCTGTGAGGACAGACGTCATGTATTCAGCAGAGCAAGTGACAGATGCATCGGATGAAGTCCCTGCCGGTGAAGTGAACTCCCGACATGATGCAGTCAACTCCTGAAGACATTATTCTGAAACTGATGGAAGCTGTCTCCCCTGAGACTACACTTTCACCAACATCAACCCAGCCTTCCAGTTATCGTGACGTTTGTGCTTGATGTCATGCTTTTCTTCAGACGAGTAACATCAACCCTTGTATTTCCTGTACTGTAAGTGTCCACTATACAGACACATTGTGATAATTGTATTGTATACATGATGCTGCTAAGTATGATGGTAGAGATAAACCAGAAGCAGCTATTCTGTGCTGACAGGTATAATGTCTCTGTCCGATGACAGGTATAATGTCTGTGTCCGATGACAGGTATAATGTCTCTGTCCGATGACAGGTATAATGTCTCTGTCCGATGACAGGTATATAATGTCTCTGTCCGATGACAGGTATAATGTCTCTGTCCGATGACAGGTATAATGTCTGTGTCCAATGACAGGTATAATGTCTCTGTCCGATGACAGGTATAATGTGTGTGTCCGATGACAGGTATAATGTCTGTGTCCGATGACAGGTATAATGTTTCTGTCTGATGACAGGTATAATGTCTCTGTCCGATGACAGGTGTAATGTCTCTGTCCGATGACAGGTATAATGTTTGTGTCTGATGACAGGTATAATGTTTGTGTCTGATGACAGGTATAATGTCTGTGTCCGATGACAGGTATAATGTCTGTGTCTGATGACAGGTATAATGTCTGTGTCCGATGACAAGTATAATGTCTGTGTCCAATGACAGGTATAATGTCTCTGTCCGATGACAGGTATAATGTCTCTGTCCGATGACAGGTATAATGTTTGTGTCTGATGACAGGTATAATGTCTGTGTCCGATGACAGGTATAATGTCTCTGTCCGATGACAGGTATAATGTCTCTGTCGATGACAGGTATAATGTGTGTGTCTGATGACAGGTATAATGTCTGTGTCGAATGACAGGTATAATGTCTCTGTCCGATGACAGGTGTAATGTCTGTGTCCGATGACAGGTGTAATGTCTCTGTCCGATGACAGGTATAATGTTTGTGTCTGATGACAGGTATAATGTTTGTGTCTAATGACAGGTAAAATGTATGTGCTGATGACAGGTATAATGTCTGTGTCTAATGACAGGTAAAATGTATGTGCTGATGACAGGTATAATGTCTGTGTCTAATGACAGGTAAAATGTATGTGCTGATGACAGGTATAATGTCTGTGTCTAATGACAGGCATAATGTCTGTGTCTGATGACAGGTATACTGTCTGTATATGATGACAGGTATAATGTGTGTACTGATGACAGGTATAATGTCTGTATCCGATGACAGGTATAATGTCTGTGTCTGATGACAGGTATAATGTCTGTGTCTGATGACAGGTATAATGTCTGTGTCTGATGACAGGTATAATGTTTGTGTCTGATGACAGGTATAATGTCTGTGTCTGATGACAGGTATAATGTGTGTGCTGTGATGACAGGTATAATGTTTGTGTCCGATGACAGGTATAATGTCTGTGCTGATTACAGGTGTAATGTCTGTGCCTGATGACAGGTATAATGTGTGTACTGATGACAGGTATAATGTCTCTTTCTGTTTACAGGTGTAATCTCTGTGTCTGATGACAGGTATAATGTATGTTTCTAATGACAGGTATAATGTCTGTGTCTCATTACAGGTATAATGTCTGTGTCTGATGACAGGTATAATCTGTGTCTGATGACAGGTATAATGGCTGTGTGTGTCTGATGACAGGTATAATGTCTGTGTCTGATGAAAGGTATAATGTGTGTCTGATGACAGGTATAATGTGTGTCTGATGACAGGTATAAAGTCTGTGTCTGATGACAGGTATAATGTCTGTGTCTGATTACAGGTATAATGTCTGCATCTCATGATAGGTATAATGTTTGTGTCTGATTACAGGTATAATGTCTGTGTCTCATGTCAGGTATAATGTTTGTGTCGAGGACAGGTATAATGTCTGTGTCTGATTACAGGTATTATGTCTGTGTCTGATGACAGGTATAATGTCTGTGCTGGTGAGAGGTACAATGTCTGTGTCTGATGACAGGTATAATGTCTGTGTCTGATGACAGGTGTAATGTCTGTTTCTGGTACCAGGTATAATGTTTGTGTCTGATGACGGGTATAATATCTGTGCTGATGACAGGTATAATGTCGTGTCTGATGACAGGTATAATGTGTGTACTGACGACAGGTATAATGTCTGTGTCTGATGACAGGTATAATGTCTGTGTCTGATGACAGGTATTATGTTTGTGTCTGATGACAGGTATAATGTCTGTGTCTGATGACAGGTATAATGTCTGTGTCTGATGACAGGTATAATGTCTGTGTCTGATGACAGGTATAATGTCTGTGTCTGATGACAGGTATAATGTCTGTGTCTGATTACAGGTATAATGTCTGTGTCTGATGACAGGTATAATGTCTGTGCTGGTGAGAGGTACAATGTCTGTGTCTGATGACAGGTATAATGTCTGTGTCTGATGACAGGTGTAATGTCTGTTTCTGGTACCAGGTATAATGTTTGTGTCTGATGACGGGTATAATATCTGTGCTGATGACAGGTATAATGTCGTGTCAGATGACAGGTATAATTTGTGTACTGATGAAAGGTATAATGTCTGTGTCTGATGACAGGTATAATGTCTGTGTCTGATGACAGGTATTATGTTTGTGTCTGATGACAGGTATAATGTCTGTGTCTGATGACAGGTATAATGTCTGTGTCTGATGACAGGTATTATGTTTGTGTCTGATGACAGGTATAATGTTTGTGTCTGATGACAGGTATAATGTCTGTGTCTGATGACAGGTATAATGTCTGTGTCTGATGACAGGTATAATGTCTGTGTCTGATGACAGGTATAATGTCTGTGTCTGATGACAGGTATAATGTCTGTGCTGATTACAGGTGTAATGTCTGTGTCTGATGTCTGTGTCTGATGACATGTATAATGTATGTGCTGATGACAGGTATAATGTCTGTGTCTGATGGCAGGTATAATGTCTGTGCTGATGACAGGTATAATGTCTGTGCTGATGACAGGTATAATGTCTTTGCTGATGACAGGTATAATGTCTTTGCTGATGACAGGTATAATGTCTGTATCTTGACATTCATTGTTGCATTGTTTGGTTGCTGTTTTGGGCAAAGTAACATCTTGATAACGGTTTTAACTACTTGGTGTATCTGCTCTCTTTTGCCCAGCAGTTTATAGTACTTCATATTCTTCGTCTGGTTAGGTGTTTATAAAGGTCCACTTCGCCGTATGGCATGCTGGCAATAGTGCAATATGTGATGTACAAATGTTTGTGTTGAGATATATTTATAATCCGTTTGGCTCAAAAGCGGATCAATGACACTGATCATTCTAACTGAAAACTAATAAATATAAAAATACTCATTAAAATGAAACACTGATCATAATCAGGAAACATCAGACCAACTCTGTGTGCTGTCTTACTTTTGCAGCTCTCTTTATGTCCTAAAATAAAAAAGTTGACATGGGATATGTCTGATTTAACAAACTATCATTAAAATTTTGACAATGTTCAGTATTGGTTGTATCTGGTGGACATGGGAGGAGGGACTGCTAAAATAAAGGTGGACAGCCAAGTGTCATAGTGGACATGGGAGTCATCGTGGACATAGGAACAAGTTATTGAATCATTTAATTGTGCTGATATGCCATCTCCATACTTTCCCCACACCTGGCTGTTCCTCTGGGATATTATTTTATCCCTGACAATATGTCTGAGTATCTGGTGGATGGGAAATGTCTGATAGTGTATCTGGTGGACATGGGATACTTCAGTTGTATCTTGCTCTAGAATGGAGGACATGACAAGATAGTGCAAGATAGATACAAGTGTTCATGTATTCAAAGCATATACGTTTTCTTCACAATATCCAGCTTTTTCATAGTGTTCAAGAATGCATATATTTACACAATTATTACTTTCACCTGTGGAAGGTGTATGTGTCTAACAGTGTAAACGGTTGTTGACTGACCTAAAGCTGTTGTCATTCTTGTGGTCAGGCTGGGTTCAAACCACTTTGGGTTATGTCTATTTATCTGTTTATGGATGTTGTATTTAGTTGCCATTAAACTTTTACCACATGATGGCATTGCTTTACTTTGATGCTGCCTTTAGCAACACTGCAGTAATGTTACAGCATGGGGCACCAGAAATCAGCTTGACATTATGTTTGGACACAGGTCTTCATCATGATGGGTGACCAGCTGCCACACTGCCTCCATCCAATATACATGTATGATATCTCCTTGATATCAATTATATCCACAGGAGTCGATGAAACTCGATGTGATAGAGTATGTATAGGAGGTTGTCTTGTATACTGGAATATAAGATATTCTAAAATGTGATGTACGTCTGTGTCTTATAACCCATCAGAATCAGGTTATTAACCCTAGATGGTGTAACTAGCAGTAGGTCATTAAACCTAGTTGGTGGCATCAGAAGTAGGTCATTAACCCTAGATAATGTAAATAAAAGCAGGTCTTTAACCATATTTGGTGGCATCAGAAGTAGGTCATTAACCCTAGTTGGTGCCACCAGAACCAGATCATTGACCTTAACCCTGGTGCCACGACACCAATGTTGTTAACCCAACTGGATGAGGGTGTTCGTGATGTGACAGGCAACGATGTTGATCGGGTCATATTCGTAATTATGGAAACAATGAACATTTAGTTGACACGGAAAATCTAACTAATCCTGGTCAATCACTTGGAATTGTCTCAACAAAATTCATGCAAAAGAGTAAACCAATTTATTATATTATATGTCTAAATTTCTTAGGTAGTTTAAATACATTTCACATCACCCCACCAGACTGGGAGAGGTATTTCTTCGGAGTGAGTCCACATAGATCCACTCCATGGCACGGTACGGCGCCAACAGCTTGCAGTAGTACATGCCAGCAAAAGATGAGATGGTGTAGTCGGCAGCTGTCACTAGGGAGGCAGAAGTTACCTCCAGCGCATTCCCTGTTTCCTTCAGTTCCAAGGTCCGTCCCACCCATTGGATGCCAGTGCTAAGTTTGACGTCATCTTTGAAAACCAGTTTCCTCACTGCACGTTTCTGGTAGCGAGTCCTCGCCACACTAGAGGAAGAGCTGAGAGCCAGCTGGAATGCAGCCTGTGGGAAGAGGATCAACAGTCAACTACAACAATCTCCTTATAGCCCAGCGGATAAGTGATCAAATTGTGCACTTCGTGTTACAAGCATGAAATTTGGCATGATTGTAGCTTATACCATTCTTATTAAATAAAGATCGAGAGGCTTCGCAGATTTTTTATAGTTTTCATATTTTGGGGGGAAAAAGTGAAAAATGATACTTTTTCTACTATTTTAATCATAACTTTTTCTAATATTCTCCAATTCTCATAAATCATATATCATATTGTAGAAAATTCATAGCTGATCATTTTCCATATATACATGTCTTGTCTATCTTTAATGGTTAGGTCTATGGAAGTTAAATTATATCATGACAACCCGAAAAAGGGAAAATTGACGGACTTTTTTCAAAATGGCCGCCAAATCGACTACAACAGTAAAATAAGTATGAGATCATCCCATGATCTAACATTTTTATCATTTCTTTGCAAATCAAAACGAAAGCCTCGCAGATATTGGCCATTTTTCCTTTTTGGGGGGAAAATAGGGGGAGAAAAAATAAATTTTCCGAAAAATGTTATCTCAACTCAAGTTTAAGTCCTAATAAATTATGTATCAAGAATATTGCGAGAACAGATGAAAGTTTATTTGAAGGGATATATCAGAAGATTTACATTCATCATCCAAAACTGTGTTCCACAGGAGATGACCGGGGTGGTGTAGTGGTTTCACTGCGCGCATACCAAAAAGACGTTAAAATATGGTACTTCTGGTACCTGCCTGGCGCTTGGCATTAATGGATACAACAAGGACTGGTCGGCTCGGAGTCAGTATAATGTGTCTGAGTGGGGTATTCATGCTTCACTGCGGCATGGTATCTCAGTGGGCTAGCACTATAAAACCAGCTTAAGTCTGGGCTAGTACAAGCAGCCGCACATACACATACAAATACACATACACACGCATGCACGTCGTCATAGGAGCGAAACATTCTCAAGCACGACGTTAAACCCAATTTCACCTCACCTCACCTCCACAGGAGATATCGCCTGTGTGAGATCATTAGATATCTCCTAGGAGATATCGTTTTGACAGTACAATGCTCTGATTTTGTACAATGCTCTGACAATGCTATGACGTCATGAACTGATGACGTCACAATGATATGACATCGCTGCACTGCAAGTCTAATGGTAGTACAGTGTTGAGAGATTTACAGTTTTCATTAAAAAGTTATGAAGAATGATTTTTTATGATAAATAGAATCTCACCCTCGTGTCTACTGATATCAATTATAACAACACTCGTTGATAAAGGTAAAAATAAAATGTGTACCTTTATCAAATCGTGTTGATATGATTGATATCAAGACACGAGAGAATGAGATTCTCTATGTATAATGTATGAGTTTGTTTGCCTATGGATCACCTATAAAAACCATATCAAAATCAACGCAAACATGTTTGATTTCAACATCAATGTCAAAGTAGCTATATTCAACAATCTGTGGCAGGTTACTCAATTATGTCTTGAGTGGAATTGTATCTAGCTTGACTGAATTAGAAAATCAATTAGTCTCTTCCACATTTGCACAGTGCAGTGCACTTTAGAGCTGCTTTTACATACTTGGACCGGTTTGAACATTTTTTACACAGTATTTATTATTATTAGCATATATAGGATATTTGTATAGCAAAAAGTTCTTTCTTGTTGGCATCACACCTCATAAAATCTTGTCAGTTCTGAGGAACACATGAATTGGCTTCCACTCGTCGTCCTTTTCCACTTCCTCTTTTTGTTCTTGCACTGGATTTTACGTTGCGTGTTGATATTTGTCCCAAACAACATACACTCTCTGATTGGAGTTCAGAGGAGTATGCAAGTATTTCAAGAACACATTATAAAATATCCATCCAATGTTATTTGAGCTGCGGGTTTTAGCATGTTTATTACTGCGACTCCATCAAGGATTGATACGTCAACATCTGGTTTTGAGTCAGTTTGTGGTGAAATGTCTTCAAAGCAATTGAGAAGAACTGATTTTGTGCATGGACGTAGAGAACCTTGATGAGATATAGATGGTACGCAAGAGTGATATTCATGTCTGAAAAACTCATTCAGGTTTCCATCCCTTGACTCGTCTGTATATATCTTGTCTTTATGGAAGAAATTTTACATTCATACTGTTGACACAAATGTGGTTGTGTTGGCCATAGCTGCAACAAGCGTTCTCGATCCCTACCAATGTTTCACAGCTTCACAGGAAGTGACAGTGTGTCATCCTTTGGTAGAATAGGAAAGAAGACATCGTGGAATGGATGGAACGCGTTTACTGAAATTACAGGCACCTTTATTTCCCTCGCTCGTCCACCACTTGAAATCACTAATGCACAGATTCATCAGCTTGAGAGATTTGT